AGCTATAGGGCCCCCCCCTACAGAGGCTCTCCTGGGGGCCCCCCCCGCCGTGGGGGTATCAGCAGCAGGGGCCCCTGATGGGGCCCCTGCTGCTGGGGCCCCTGGTGGGGCCCCTGCTGCTGGGGCCCCTGGGGGCCCCTGATGGGGGCCCCCAGCTATGGGGGCTGATGAAGGTTCACCGAAGAATGCATGGAGAAATGTTTCTTCTCTCTGCATGTGGCGTTTGCTGCTGCTGCTGGGTATTGCATGCGCTACGTGGTTGAGCTGCTGCAGGTCCGCTTGCTGCAGCTGCTGCACCAGCAGCAGCAACGATTCAGCTTTTGCTGCATCTGTATCGGCATCATCTGTCCATAGGGCCCACCTCTGTGTTTCTTCATCATCAGGTATACCCTCAGAGCCAAGGGGGTATGGGGGGGGCCCCCCAGGGGGGCCCCCCAGAGGGGCCCCCTCACCGACGGCCTGCAGCAACTCCTCTATCAGCTGCGTCTCCCCGGGGGCCCCTGCTGCTACCCCCACCCCTTTACTCTTCAGCATGCGATAGGTCAGCAGCATGCGTTCATACGGCAGCAGCTGGCGGCCCAGCAGATACTCACAGTCTGTCTCAGCCTCCAGCAGGCAGTTGTCTTCTTCGCTCCATACACCTCCAACACCACTTCCTGCTGCTGCTGCTCCTGCTGCTGCTGCTGCTCCTGCTGCTGCTGCTGTTGCTGCGGCGGCAGCGCTCGCAGATCCTCCGTCAACCTTCTCCCCTCCGCTGCTTTCAGCTGCAGCTGCAGCAGCTGCGTTGGCTGCAGCAGATGCCGCCACAGAAGCAGGCTGTGCAGCAGCTGCAGAACCTCCTGCCACAACAGGAGGAGCAGCTGCAGCAGGTTCAGCAACAGCAGCAGCAGCAGCAGGTGCAGCAGCAGGTGCAGCAGCAGCAGCAGCAGCGACGACCGGAGAGGAAAAGGGAGCAGCGTCTGTATGCCTAGAAGGAATATCTTTGCTTCCAGTGCATGCAGCCATGCCCGAGGCCCCCCGCAACTCCGCGAGCAGCTCAAGGGGCCCCCGTAGGGGGGCCCCCAGGGGGCCCCCAAGGGGGCCCCCTTGGGGGCCCCCTTGGGCGCTGAAGCTGTACCTTAGGGGCAGCTGG